CTCCTGGCCTGGGGGGCGGTCCTGTGGGAGCACCGCTCGCCGTCGGCTTTCAAGGAGGAAAGGACCCCGTACCAGAATTGGATACCAACGAAGTCAAGCAGCTCATTCGATTGGCCGAGAAATCGAAGAACACCGAGCTGGCGCAGTACTATCAGCATGTGCTGGTCATCAAGGACAGTCCGGAGGTGGCCCCGCAGATCCGAGCAGACCAGAGCTACCGCCTCATCCAGAGTCTGGACGTAGACTTGCTCAAGCACACTGCGGAGCTGGAGGCTTCGCACAAGGACTAGGTCGCCCAGGACACCCTCGATAGTTTGGGCAAGTAAGAGGGGGTCTACAAGGAGGCCATCACCGAGCTGCATGGCACCGTGGCCAAGCCGCAGGAGCCGACCAAACCCGTCCTGTGCCCCGAAGATATCCTCAGCGGCAGGGACTGCTGGGAGATCTCCTGTGGAGAAGGACTTTTCGGCCTCAGTGGGTATGTCGACATCTCCGAGACAGACCTCCAGGAGGCTCGAGACCGCAAGGCCCAGCTTACGACACAGTTCGGCGACATCGCCAAGCAGCTCTTCGGCAGCCTCAAGACGAAAGCAACAGAGTGCCATAAAGGACACGAGGCTTCCACGGCACGACTGACAGGGAAGAAGCGCAAGACCGACAGAGACGGAGAAATTGCTGCTGGGGGGGGCACAACCTGACGGGCAAGGGCAGGCTCCAGCGGCGGCGTCGAGCTCCACACCTTCGACGGGACTGGCAGGGGACGGAGGTGCGGGCGCAGGCAAGGGCCAGCGTGGTTCAACCTTTCGGCATAAGGCAGCAGACCTCCTATCCAAGGGCGGGGGCAAGGGCAGCGCGGCCTCGGGAGGGGCGGAAGCGCTTTGCTCCTAGCCCACCCGTCGCCCAGACGGGTGACGGCTAGCGGCAACCGTCAAGTACCCCTGCCAGCCCATCAACTATTTGGAGAATCATCACCGCCAGCATTTCAGGTTGGAGTGGAGCGATGCACCTTTTGATTGGCGACTACATACGCAGTGCCCGCGCAGTTTGTTTGCAGGAGTGTCAAGTTCTTAAAGCAGGGGATGCGCAGCAGGAATCAATGATTCCTAGTGAAGGATGGAAGTTGCGCTTGTCAGGTGCCTATCAGACCTCGCAGGATGGCATATCCGCAGGCGTGGGCATCGCTGTCAAACACCATCCCGGTGTAGGCGAAGCAGTTGAACACCACAGACATTTGATTCATGAGTGTAGCTCGATTGTTTGGGTCAACGGCTGTGTTCGGGGTGGGTTCTACCTCATTAGCATGTATCTTCCAGATGGTGAAGGAGTCGGGGGGGGGGGGCAGAAAGGGAGGCAGATGGTGAACCAGGTGGGTAAATTGTTGTTTTTCTTGTTTGCGTATCAGAAGCCCTTCGTCATTGCAGCAGATTGCAATGCTACTCCGGATGACATCCAGAATGTTCCGATCCTGGGGTAGATGAGGGGGGTGGTGGTCTATGGCACTAAACCCACTTGCCGTGTCGGAAAAACTTGAAGGAAGTTGGTTTTCTTCGTCGTTTCTCACCACCTCGCGGGGTCGGTCCAGGGCCGTAGGCGGATTGAAGACTCGGATAACAAGAGTCACTACCCAGTGGAGCTAGTTTTGGGCGCCCAAGCTCATCGACAGCTTAAGCAGGTTCTGAAGCTCCCGAAGCCCTTCCCGACCGAGTTGCCCGCTGGGCTTGGACCCCGACCACCGCCGAGGAATTGGACAGTGATTGTTGCTCGGCTTCAGGAGTTCGACTCGAGGCCGACAACACTGAGCTTACGTTATCTATTCTGATATGCGCAACATGCTGGAGCTCGAGCTCTGCGACGTGCTAGGCATCAGAGAAGCAGACCGTGCCCCGCACTAAGCAGCGGCTCTGGGTACCGCATTGTTGCGCAGCCTGTTTGGGAGTACGTCGAGGGCCCGTGCCCCAGGTGCACCAAGGCCCCCAGAGCCCCCCGTAAGCTGGCCGTCTGGGTGGAGGAGCTGAGGTTTCTGAGGAGGAAGGGGCATCTGTGGGATTTCAGAGGGGTCCAGGACATCGTCAGTAAGATATGCAGTGCCCCGCCTTACCTTGCCGTAGTTCCAGGATGGCAGGATTTCCATGCTCAGATCGTCCTAGGAGCCGGAGTGGAGCTCGACCACTTGGAAGTGCTCGGGCGCCAGGCCCAGGAGGTCGCCGCAGTTGTCGAGTCATGTTCCACGAAGGCCAGAAACAAGGTTTGGAGGCAATGGGTATCTGATTCGATCAAGAAGGTGGTGGTGCTTTATATAAATATACAAAATATCCAGTGGGCTGGCCCCCAGATCCGAATGGGCTCCAAGGGGGGCCTGCTGGGCAAGTGGATGCGATAGAATCTCGATTAGAAAAGCGGCAAAGTATTTGGCACGAAGGGGGGCCATCTCGTCTCAATGTTGAACATCCAGGCCTTCCTCTTGGAGAAACCCCTCCAGCGCCCACAGTGGGCCAACCCAGAGGAGCCCCCGAGAAGCTCCAGAAGAACATTGCAGTTGGCATTGACGGGTGGAGCCCAGCCTCGCTCAAGCTCTTGAACGACGACGCGCTCGCAGCACACGGCCAGTCTCTCTCGCGCGTAGAGTCGCACCCTTTGATCCCAGAGCAGTGCGACCATGTCCTGCTGGCTTTTCAGTGGAAGCCAGATGGTGGATATCGTCCTATAGGTTTTCTTGCAATAGCCATCCGGGCACAAGGCAATAGTAGGAGCTGACCAATGGGAGGCAGATCGCAGTCTAGATTGTATCTATGGGGCGAAAGGGAAACGTTGTGAGCGATCAATATGGCAACAAGCAGCAGTAGGGGGAGCAGCACAAAGAATTGGAGCATCATCGGCATCTGCCTTAATTGACACGGAGAGATGCTATGAGGAGGTTCCCCATGATGTTATGTGGCATGCGTGTGTCACGGCGCATCAGTGCAAAGACTGTTGCTCAAAGTGCATGGTGGGCCACGGCGCGTCAAGATTAACGAAATCGTTTCAGACTCGATCCACATCGCGCCTGCCACCATAGCGGGATGCGCATTTGCGACCACGCTGGGAGCTGTGCTCCAGCATTCGTCGGGGTACATGCGTGGCAATCGGGCTTCTCTTGGGCCCTTATGTCGTGGTTGATGATATCGCATTCGAAGCCATGGGTTCCATGAGATAGGTTGAATGCACAATCTCAGCATCAGTACCTCAGATCTGGTCCAGGCTGAGGAGGCCATGGGAATAGTGATATCACGGAAGAAGTGCCAGATCGTCGCCTTCTGCCGCCAGTTGGCCAGCAACCTTCAGAGGACGCTGGCCAGATATAGTCGCGGCCTATGGCTCTGTCAAGAACTTAGGCCACGACTTCGGCAGGCAGGTGAGGAGGAAGAAACCTGTGCTTAGGGAGCGTGTCTTCGGAGTTCGGAGGCGGGCCCGTCGGCTTATATCCCTGAAGCGCCACCAGAAGGGCTCGCCAGGATCTTTCGGGGCGGCGGCATCGCGGCGGCCACCTGCGGGGCCAGGGCGTTGGGGATGAACGATTCGTGGCTCCAGGATCTCAGAGCTATAACGGGATATGCGCTCTTCGGGACAGCAAAAGGGAGATCCGGGGCTGCGCAATGCCTCGGCCCCGCCTACCTCGACCCCGCCTACTTCGTAAACGCCCTCCCGCTCATCACCTGGCTGGTGGTGTTGCACCGGCAGTGGGTCGCAGATGGCATCATGCAGACCATTTCTGACGCGGCCGTCGCAGCAGCTCATCTTGGATGGGCTATGGTCGCGGGGCCAGCAGGCGCTGTCCTTCAGGCGCTCAGGAGATTAGGGTGGACGGTGGATGACTACGCGCGCTGGAGGGGCCCCCGGGGCCTGAGAGTGGACCTCACCAACACGGGGTCCAGCGCGCTCAAGGCACTGGTTCACCGCGCGGTTAGACGCGATCAAGAATTACAAGATACATAACATTAAACATCTCGGTTGGAACAACGCCCCGCACTGCGAACCTGTTCGAGATGAGTTGCGCTGGATGAGAGGCAGAGGTAGGAACTTCCAAGCTGATCTCGTCATCGCTCATTGTTCTGGAGGCCTCTGGACGCAGTCGAAGTTGTTCTTCGACAGATGCGAGATGGACTCAACATGCCTATGGTGCCAGCAGGCGCCAGAGACGATAGGGCACCTGGCTGCATGTTTGCGACGGGCTTGCAGCACGGCGGCGAGATCTAGATTCTGGAGGGTTGAATTCTATCTACCACGGTGCTGGAGATTGCGCTCGTGGAGTATGGGGTGACCTTTAGCAGAAGAGTTGAATTCACACCTGCTCTTGAACGCCCAGAAGCAGGGTATGTTTGGAGACCTGGACCCTCTGGACACCTTGGGAGCGAAATCTTCGTCGATGGTTCTGGTCTCGACCCGACGTTTGAGTGGCGTGCGCGATCAGGCTGGGCCGCAGTGTCCCTTGCTCCTGGGCCACTGAGGAAGCTTCGTCGGTTGCATATGGCCCTGTTCCTGGGCCCGTCCAGCCTGCAGGGTTGGCCGAGCACTATGCTCTGTACATGTGTTTATGCCTCATGGGCGCGGAGTCCATTATTATTACTGATCGCGCCAATCTCGTCCAGGGCCTGGACAAAGGGCTTGCAATTATGCGCGAACCTACCCATCCATATCTTGAAGTTTGGACGTTGGTTTTCTGGAAGCTCGAGGGCACCGGGAGACAAAACGTCAATATTGTCTGGATGCCGTCGCACAAGACTCGGACGTGGCTCGGAAATAAAGGGTATCCTGCACGGTGGTTTTCTGGCGCCGCCTTGCCTGACAAGTATGCGAAGTTAGGAGCCATCCAGCAACCCAGGATCCCTCACCTTCAGGAGCGCTTGAGGAGTGCCGAGGAGTATGCCAAGCAGTTTACCAGGATGCTCGGGGTCATCTTGTACCAGCTTAGCCGAGTAGGGTTTCCTGATGCAGCTAGAATCATGAATCAAAAATCATGCCCCCATGACAGGTTGGGGGTGAATCTGTATGTGCGATCAGGCTGGTGCGCGGTGACAAAGGTCACCGTGTTCATGGCGAAGGGGGGCTTTGGGGCTGCAGGACGTGTGCAGTTACCTCTGCCCGTCGGAATCGAGTTGTCAGCCCCCCCTGCCCTGGGGTCCCCACTATTGTTTCTAGGTCTCACGAATCCCACAGAATGTGGGTGGCGGGGGACACGTTCTACTGCAACCTGCGCGGGGCGTACGCCACGGGCCAAGCCAAAGGACTGGCCGCCCGCTGCCCACAGTCAGGATCTGGGGAGTGGGGGATGAGGGCTCTCAAGCAGCTCAAGATGGGGAAGAATCCGACGACGAAACAGTTCGTCTGGCGCCCATTTCCTGTCCACTGATCTCCCCCCCGCAGGTCCTCTTCTTCCCAGTTCTAGGCTCTCTTGCGGCTCGCTGCGGGATTGACCTTCCAGAGGCTCCAGAGGAGGAGGATGTGGAGGAGGAGGAGGAAGAGGAGGACAAGGAGGAGGAGGAGGAGGACACTGAGGAGGAGGAGGAGGAGGCGGAGGAGGCAGAGGAGGAGGAGGACGAGGATGAGGAGGAGGAGGAGGAGGAGGAGGAGGAGGAGGAGGAGGAGGAGGAGAAGGGACAGCAGCGGGACGGAGGGTCAAGCATTGGCAGGACTGACGCGAGGAGCGGCATCCCATGTTCGATACGTGGCGCACCCTTACCTCAAGCAAGCCCGCGGGTGTGCTTCGTGAGGTGAAGAGGAAGCAGAGAGGGAGGAGGAGGGGGGAGGAGGAGGAAGGAGGAGGAGGAGGAAGAGGAGGGGGCCGGAGGGGATGAACAGAGGAAGGAGGAGTCAGAAAGGGGACGGAGGAGGGTGGGAGCGAGGAGAGGGATGATGATGATGATGATGATGATGATGATGATGATGATGATGATGATGATGATGATGATGATGATGATGATGATGATGACGATGATGATGCTGATCATGTTGATGATGCTGATGATAATTATGGCGATTATGATGATGATGCTGCTGATGCTGATGCTGATCATGATGCTGATCCTGCTGATGATGATGATGTTGCTGTTGCTGGTGATGATGATGATGAGGAGGAGGAGGAAGAGGAGGAGGAGACAGAGGCAGGGGCGTTTCGCGCGGAGAGCCCTCGCGATTTTGGCTTGCCTCGTTGGCGTGGCCCTGCCAGTTGACAGGCGCTTGGCGCAGGAGGGCCTCGCAGCTCACTCGGATGAGTCCCGCTGGCGTCGCCGACATCGGTCTCACAGGTCTACACGCTATAGCCCAGCGGGCCGGCCTCGCTGCTATACGCACAGTCATATCGTGTCGGAAATGATCAAAATCATGCCCGACTGGCCGAACCAATTGGCCTGCGGTTCGAACAGCTGGTGTTCTACGGGGGGGAGGGGCGTCCGCGCAGCTCTGCTTGGCTAGTGTTCTGGCATCGTCATCAGCACCATCACTTTGATGGTAGCTTCGGTCCCGCCCCTGATCCTGGTTCGTTTCTTTTGTTCCGTTACGCCCACATTTCCAGGCCTGTCTCACATAGACGTATGGTAACCGCCGGCGTGTTTTGTTTACCCTTTGCATGCGTGCGCGTATCCACCGTGTCGCGTCTTCTGCGCATATCGCTTGTTCCGTGCAGCGCACCGGGCAACATGTTTCGGCAGTTGATTCCGTTTTCAGCCGCACCGCGTCGGCGGCGCCGGCCGCAAACATGTCACACATGCCCAGCACGGCACCGAATCCAGTCTCTGCCTGCCAGCCCGCGCCCCAGCCCCTGTCCCCAGGAGTAGGAGGAGGAGGGGGAGGACGAACAAGAAGACCCAACCCTCCGACGTCGTGGTCTTATCAAGGGCGTGTGCGCCCGGAGCCCTCGGTCCCATGCTGGGGACCTGTGTTTCACTTTGAGAAGTTTTTCATTGCCCCAGGGCGTGTATAAACGGCCCCCAGACGCCGAAGTTTGCAAGACAATTCCGTCGCGATTGTCTGCGGAGGAGGCGTCTCAGCCCGGGCCCCATGCGCGCAGACCGCGGGGGAGGGGGGAATGGAAGGGCGAGCACCTGCGCTCCGCGGGAAGGTCATCGAGCCCGCGGTGATCTTGCCGCTCGGCAAGGGGGCTGTGCAGGCGTCCCCCGCCGTCCTCACGAGCGCGCTCCTCTATGTCCTCCTCGTCGTCCTCCTCCTCCTCCTCCTCCTTCTCCTGCGAAAAATGCCTCGATGACGCGGGCCGTGTCGTCTGTATGACCGAGGCCCGTCCCTGCCCAGGGGGCCATGCCAGCTGGCCGGGCGAACTGTGCGGGTGGGCTGCCTGGGCTCCGATCTGTACAGGTGGAACGACGGGGGACGAGCGAAGGGGCGAGGGTCGAGGCCCCCCCGGTGGGACGAGCCCTGCCATGTCTGCCCGCACGCGGCCCATGCAAAACCGTGCGGGCAGGCGGACAAAATAAGGATGGGCCCCCCAGGCTGTCTGCACACGCAGCCCCATGCCGTGTGCACGTGCGTGCCCGTGTGCTCGCGCCCCTTTGAGCCCTGCGGTTGCGACTCGTTCCCGCTCAGGCTGTCCTCCTCTTCCTCCTCCTCCTCCTCCTCCTCCTCCTCCTCCTCCTCCTCCTCCTCCTTCTCCTCCTCCTCCCCCTCCCCCTCCCCCTCCCCCTCCCCCTCCTCCTCCTCATCTCCTGCTCCTCCTCCTCCTCCTCCTCCTCCTCCTCCTCCTCCTCCTCCTCCCTCCTCCTCCCCCTCCGTCCTCCTCCTCCTCCTCCTCCTTCCTCCTCCTCCTCCTCCCCTCCCCCTCCCCCTCCCCTCATTCTCCTCCTCCTCCTCCTCCCCCTCCTCCTCCTCCTCCTCCTCCTCCTCTCTCCTCCTCCTCTCCTCCTCCTCCTCCTCCTCCTCCTCCTCCTCCCTCCTCCTCCCCTCCTCGTCCTCCTCCTCCTCCTCCTCCTCCTCCTCCTCCTCCTCCTCTCCTCCTCCTCCTCCTCCTCCTCCTCCTCCTCCTCAAAGCCACCTGCAACCACATCCGAACAGTGGCGCTGCCCGCACGGGGCGCCGACCGCCCCACAGCACACGTGGCGGCGCACCGCTGCGGGCGCTGGCCGACTGCGCCCCGACGCCCTCCGACGCAGCCCCTGCTGCCGCCCGTGGGCTGCTGGCAGACCTGCTCACTGCCCTGGCCAGGCCTCCGCCCGACCAGACCACCCCAGTGTGGATCTGCTTCCCCCAGGGGCCACCCGCAGGCACGCGGCCCTCCCGGCGGCCCCGAGCGCGGGGCGGCGGGTGGCCGCTCCGCCCGGCGCTGCGGCTCCCGAGCCCGGCGGAGGGCGCGGGGGCCGCCGCCCGCCGCCGCGGCGAGGCGCCGAGCGGCGCCGAGAGGCGCCAGCCTGCACGGGGCGCCCGCGGGGGGCGGCGGCCCCCGGCGTGGGCGAGGCGGGCGCGGCGCCGCGCCAGCACGGGGGCTCCAGCGGGGGGCGGCTTCCCCGGGACGCGGCGCCGCCATGGCTCTGCACGAAGGAGAGGGGTACGGAGAGAATGGGCACACTGCTCGGGCCGAACGAAAGGGGGGGATAGGGAAAGGGGGGGTTACGAAATCTGCTGCATGCAGCTGGTTTCGGCCCCGCCGCCGGGCCCGTTCCTCGATACATGGTCGCATTTTGGCGCCCGGAGGCGCCGGGAAAATCAGCTACGTGAGCTGATTCTCAACCCCCCCCTTTGCGATCCCCCCCTTTCGCCCGGCCCGAAATGCCCAACAGCAGTTCCTGTTCATTTTGAGCCGGACTCGCTGTCCGCGCCGCCGCGGCCTGTGTCCATTTGAGACAGCAGGCCGCCTGCCCAGCAGCGGCCGCTGTTGGTTTAGGGGCAAGAGTTGTTGTTGGGCATTGTACCCATTCTTTCCGTACCCATTCCGGGCGTCCAAAATGATGGCGCCGCAGTAGATCAGGAGGAGAGAAAACACACAGTTTCAGCCACGCGCAGAGGGGCGTGGGGGGAGGGGGAGGGCTTCTTAGAAGCACTCCTGCTTCTTAGGAGGCACGGGCCTTCTCTATAGATGTAAGGGCGGCGCCTCCTAAGAAGCAGCCTCCTTCTAAGAAGCCCTCCCCCTCCCTCCACCCCCTTGTGCGCGCCGTCAACAGACACAGCGCCGCAGATCTCTTCCCTCCTGATCTACCTGCAGTAGATCAGACGGGGAAAAGACACACAGGCACAATGAGTCGTCGACCGCCAGTAAGACATGGGAGAATATGGGAAGTGTGGGGGAGAGACGAAAGCACAAAGAGCATGGACAAAGATGGGGGATCCTGGGATGTGTGTCTATTTACTTGTGTCCCCGGGCCCCTTCAGTAGAGCTGCCAGGCTTCGCGATCACGCGGGACTCGGCGGAGCCGCGGGCGGCTGCGTCGCAGGACCCCGTGCAGGCCCATCCTGGCCGCCGCGGGCCGGGTGCCGCAGCGCGAGGCCGGCCGCCGTGGCCGACGAGAACGCCGCCTCGGCTGTGGCCGTCGCGGCGGCCGGCGCGCAGCGCGCAGCGGCTGCGGCCGCCGCCGCCGCCGACCCGGCGGGCTCGGCTCCGCTGTCTTCACGGTCGTCGAGTTCCAGCGGCCGGTCGTCGACGGGCGTGGGAGCGACGTGCGAGCTGGCGGGGCGCACGCGCCGAGTCCGTGCGGCCACGGGGGCCTGGCGCGCCGCGGCATAGCGGCTGGCCGCGCTGGAGGCAGAGGCTCTTGCCGCCTCCGACGCCACAGCGCCCCAGGCCGCCGAGGGCCCCCCCCGTGGTGGTGCTGATGCCGCCCCGGCTGGGCGAATGGAGGAGGAAGCTGCGCAAATCCCCGGGGTCAGCTCCGTGTACCTTGTACTACAGGCGGCGTTTCCACAGTTCAAGGTTCACCCCACCGGCTCCTTTCCAATCGGTCTGGAGGGTTTTTGTTGACGGCCGCTTGCCGCTTGCTGGTCATCCTTAACGTGTTGGGCCGTGCAGGCAGAGGCGGTTGACGTCGATGCCACGAACTGTCCTCATGCAAGGAGTCTGCCGTGCCACGCGTCCGGTTTTCTTCAGAGGATTTGGTGTGACTCGTGTTGATGTGGTGGCCGCTCAGTTGTCGCTCAGCCAATCTTGTTTGATGGCACTGGAACAGGCTTGGGTTGCTGCTTCACTTCAGTTGCGTATCTTCGCTCCTTCGTGTGCAATTCTTCCTCGGCGGCGGGCGTGTGGCGGACGGCAGACTCAGCGCCAATGGTCGCGAGTGCTGCTGTTTTGGTAAAGTTCGACGCGTTCCGTTTTGCGGTGGGCCCGATGCGGTTGCCTGGTGCGTGTGAAGTCCGCTCATCTCCCCTTTCTATCCACCCATCCTGTTATCCTCTCGGCTCAAGAATTGGACATCATTCGCGCCCCTGCTTCCGTGGGCGCATGGAGAAAAGAGACTCCTCTTCTCTCCCTATCGTCATCCACCTACGGACACCACGGTAGGTTCGACTCATGGGTCGTTATCCCCTTCCGCCCACACCCAGGAATCACGCTGCAAGCTGGCGGGCCCGGTGCGGTTCCGCACGGTGCAGGCGCTTCGCGGGCCCGCCAGCGTGAGCACGCCTCTGCGGATGGGCCGCGTGCTGCTGAGTGCTCCTACTGGGGGGCCTTACCTCCCCAATTCTAAGTCGGGCGCGTCCCTCTACAGAAGGAATATTCGAAACAACTCAAAACATAGCCTGGGGACGATGCTGTGAATATTTGTGGGCAATGTTTGAGTATGGTTTGACTACTTCTTATGTTTCGTCAAAAAACCCGCTATTTGGGGGGACATGCCCGACCTAACTCAGATTGCCCTTCGGGGGGCGCCGAAGGGGCGAGGCTGGGCGCGTGGGGCGCCTTCCTCCAGCTGGGCTTCCGTCATCGTGGGCCTGCAGCTGGTTCCTCTTCGACGGCACGCTGGTGCTCCTGCTGGCCTTAGGCCCTTGGCGCTCGAGGCTGGGCGCGTGGGTCTCGTTCCGCCAGCTGGGTTTTCGTTGTCGTGGGCCTGCAGTTGTTCCTCTTCCATGGCGTGGTGGTGCTCCTGCTCAGTATCGTTGAGCCGATTCCTATCCCCATCCCCATCCACTTCTCGAGCCCCACCGCCTCACCACCTCAGTCGGGGACATGCCCCCCGAAGCCCGAAGAGAGCAGCCCATACCCCGATCCAGGGGGGTAAACCGCCTGTGGGGCCCAGCCCACGCTGGTGGGGATGGGGATCGGTTCAATGCTGCTCATGCTGGCGCTCGTGTTCTTCATCGTGGAGCTGGCCGTCCCTCGCCGCGCCCCGCGGGGCGCCGCCTGCGCGTCGCAACGCGCGGTGTGTGCGTGTGTGTGTGTGTGTGTGTGTGTGTGTGTGTGTGTGTGTGTGTGTGTGTGTGTGGTCGCCTCTTCGGCGCCCACTTCACTTCGGCCCCCTTCAGCCCGATGGTCCGCCATCCCTCCGCGAAACTTAACGCAAGTTTTTTCCGCGCCGCGCTCGCGCTCCCAGAGACCCAAATTTCAGCGTTGACGCCGAAACACGTGACTTCAAGTTTTCCGACGGCGTCCGCGCACCGCGCCGCGCTTGCAAGTAAACATTGAAATTGGGGGCGAGGGGGGGTCGGCGAAACTTGCGTTACGTTTCGCGGGGGGTGCACGGAATGTAGGATAGACCATTGGCCAATGCAGGTGTATTTCGTTCACCTCCGCTGGCAGCCTCGGAGCTACTGGTGGCTCTCAGCAAGCCTGTGTCCACGTCCTCAAGGGTTCCAGGGTTCCCGGTGGGCAAGCGCGCGTTCGCGTTGCACACGTGTGCCTGATAGTCGACTGGCTGTGCTTCCGTCGAGTAGGCAGGTGCACGCTCGCCGTCTGTTCTCCGAGACTCCGGTGCTCAAGATGGAACCCGCCTTTCACAGCAATTCAGAAGGGCGGGCTCGATTCACCAGTGGTCAAGACGTGTATGGCGCATAGCCGGGGCTGCTGAGCCTGCATGGGATGCCACAGGACCTCTCGAACAACGTGCGGAGCGCAGCTGGACGCCCGTGCAAGACTGTTTTTGCTGCCACTTCGACGGTCGCAGCGGCAGCCTAGGCGGTCAACGCCGCACACACGAGGAGGATGACGAGGAGAAGGCGTCATTTGGAAGGGGACGTGCATCCCAGTACTGCGGCCTTGACGCTTCGATTGGCCTCTGGTGGATACAGCCGTGGCCTCAAATGCTGGCAGAAGACACCTCGTGAGAACTTAATCTTCGCCATCCTCAGCCTCTACTTCTGCCACATCCTTCTCCTCGTCCTGCTCCTTCTCGCCTTGGAGCGGCGTCACGGTCCAAACTGGCAACTGTGTCAGGAGGCGCGATTTGGGTGCACCACTCCCTCCTGGGCCGGAGTGGCCTGGCTTCGCGGAGGAACTCCAGCAACCATGGCTCGGCGGAGGGGCCCGATCGACTGGACCACCGATAAGGGTGCAAGCTGCAGAGCACGGTGGAAGACATCTCATCAGTGGAGGCGATGCTCGTGGCGCCGGGAAGCCAGCGCGTGTTCGCTCGAGGCGCGCTCGCAGGAGGGTGGCCGGGAGGAAGAGGACGGAGGAGGTGTAGGGGCGGGGGCAGGGGGAGGAAGACGGAGGAGGGGGGAGGAGAAGGGGTACGCTAGGCTCCGTCTGGTTCTCGATCCCACTCGATTCTCAATCCCTCTCCTCCTCCTTCTCCTCCGGCTCCTCCTCCTCCTCCACCTCCTCCTCCTCCTCCTCCTCCTCCGCCTCCTCCTCCGCCTCCTCCTCCTCCTCCTCTCCTCCTCCTCCTCCTCCTCTCTTCCTCCTCCTCCTCCTCCCCTCCTCCTCCTCCTCCTCCTCCTCCTCCTCCTCCTCCTCCTCCTCCCTCCTCCTCCCCCTCCTCCTCCTCCTCCTCCTCCCCTCCTCCCCCTCCCCCTCCTCCTCCTTCTCTTCCTCCTCCTCCTCCTCCTCCTCCTCCTCCTCCTCCTCCTCCTCCTAATCAAGCTCGTGTCTTGTCGACGAGGCAGCGACTCCAGCGCAGGCGTTCCGCGTCGCGGTCGACATCGAAAGATCTTCGCTGTCGGAAGCTCCGATCGTTCAGGATTGAACGATCCACGCGGCCTCAGAGACCACGGCGCAAGTCGTCACGACACGAACCCGTTATACGGCTGGATGCGACGGCGGCTCTTGAGGCTGGCCGTGGGCAGAAAAGAAAAAGCCTTTTGAACCCGCCTTCCCAGTGAGAGCGCGACGATCTAGTGCGAGCTCCGGGGAGCGAGAGGGGCGAGGGACGGGGATCAGGCAAGCAGGAAGAGGGAGGAATAAGGGAAGAGAGAAGTGACCTCGAACCGGTGCTCTGGGACGGGATCAGTCTCAGTACGCTTTGAGTGAGCTAGCAGCCTTCTCCAGTGTAGTTCCTTGATGTTGCCAAGCATTTTCGCGGCACTCCGCCACAAGCCGGATACCCGATTTGAAAACCACACCTGATGGAGTACTGAGAGGAACGTGGGCGATGCCGGACGGCCTCGGTAAAGTGTTTGGGGAATGCGCATTTTTTTCCAAACCATCCTGCAATGGTTATCTCAGAGCCCCGAATCATCAGGGATAACTCGGGTCAGGGCTAACTCGGGTTCGTTTTTCGGGAGTCCGAGCCCGAGTTACCCCGGACCCGAGTTGCCCCGGATATTTCGGGCGTCCAGAGCCCCGAATCATCAGGGGTAACTCGGGTCAGGGTTAACTCGGGTTCGTTTTTCTGGAACCCAAACCCGAGTTACCCTGGACCCGAGTTACCCCGGATAACTCGGGCGTCCAATTATCGATCTGGACAGAGTGCTGCGGTCTTCATCCCCGCCTCCAAACAGTCGCCGCTGTCGAGGCTTGCTGGGGGGGCAGCATGGTGGGTGCCACGCGAACTCGGCACCCCTGGGGGGCGGCGACCTGCGCACCCGTCATCCCTTTCGAGGGCTGCTGGGAGGGAGGACCAGCATGGTGGGTGCACACGGAGGTTCAAGGCAGACCTCGCCTTCCTGGGGGGCGGCTGCGATCTGCGACACTTTTGTTTTTCGTCGAGGGCTGCCCGTAGCGCCAGCATAGTGGGCACATGCCCAGATTCAAATCAGACCTCGCCGTCCGTGGGTGGGGGGGGGGCTGCGATCAGGCTGCGCTCTGCGAAAGTGCCACCGCTTTCGAGGGCTGCTGGAAGGGCCCGTATATCGGGTAGAGGCGCACCTTCAAATTAGACCTCGCCATCCCTGAGGGGCTGCGAAACGTGAAGCTGTTGCCACTTTCGAGGGCTGCTGAGAGGGACAGCATAGTGGGCACATGCCCAGATTCGAATTAGAACTCGCCATCCCTGGGAGGCTGCGATCTTCGAAACCGTCGCCATTTTCCAGGGCTGTTTGGGGGGGGGTCAGCAGAGAGGCGTCTTGCGAGGGACTCATATTAGACCTCGCCATCCCTGAGGGACCGCGAACTGCGCAACCGTCGCCACATTCGAGGGTTGCTGGGGGATCCAGTGGAGTGACGTTTTAGAGGGGACGCAGATTAGACCTCGCCATCCTGAAGGAGGCTGCGAGCTGCGAAAATGTCGCCACGTTCGTGGTCTGCTGGGGGGTTCAGTGGACTGAAGTCTTCCAGGCAACTCAGATGAGACATCGCCATCCGTGGAGGTCTGCGAAGTGTGAAGCTCACGCCACGTTCGAGGGCTGCTGAGGGGTCCAGCGGAGCGACGTCTTGTGGGACTCCGATTAGATCCCGCCATCCCTCGGGGGGCGGGGCGCACGAATTGAGAAGTTGTTTCCACTTCCAACTGCTGCCGATTGTCCAGCAGGGTGACGCCTTGCGCAGATTCAGATGTCGCTAATAATGCCTGCGGCGCCGCGAACTGGGAAACAGTCGCCACTTCCGAGGCTTGTTGGGGGTAGGGCATTCTTGTGGGTGGCCCCCGCAGATCTCGATTGGATCTTGCCATCCCCAGAGGGGGGCTTCGGCCTGCGAGACTGTGGCCTCCCTGGGGGAGCGAACTGCGAAACTGTCGCCATCTTCGAGGGCTGCCGGGGCGGGAGGGGGCGCATGGTGAATGGCCTCTGTCAAGGGAGGAAAAACCACCCGGGCCCCACAATTTGCGTTTACTCAATGACTCTGGGCGTTTACTAAATAGCCCTGCCCTGTTCGATTCCTTCTTTGGGTGCCTTTGCGAAACGGCCTCGCCTGTCGGGGTGGTTATCATGGGGGTGGATGTTTGGAACTACTCTCTGGAGATGCAGATGAGACCTCGCGGGGGCTGCGAGCTGCGAGGCTGTCGCCGTTTTTGGGGGCCCGGGGGCAGCAGAGTGGCCGGCCTACGCAGATCCAGATCCGCATAGCGGTCTGGGAGCGGATTGCGAGTCTGTCGCCACTTTCGAGGGCTACTCGGGGGGGCGGCTTGTCGGGTCGGGCACCGAGCGGAGAGTCCGATTGGACCTCGCCATGCCTTGGGAGCTGCGAGCTGCGAAACCGTCGACACCCTCGTGTCTCCGCCTCTCTCGCTGTCGTCCTCTTCCTTCCTCCTCCGTCTCCCTGCTGTTGCCGCGTCAACGTGTTGGCCCCCCTTCCTTTTCCTGCCTCTCGTTCCCGTCCCATTCCTCTTCGGCCTTGGGGCCTCAGTCTTCGTGCTTCTATTGTTGCTCTGTGAGTCGTGCAGCGAGCGCGCACCCCATGTAGCCGGCACAACACGTATATTTTCCTGCGTGGGGGCTACCCATACTGCTTTTGGGCCAGCCTCTCCTGTCCCTCGGTGCAGATGGGTTGGGTACGTCGAGGGGTGCTTCTCTCCGTGGGGGCTCGCGGCCCCATCCGCGGGGGAGGATGCTCCCATGACTGGGATGCCTGCAGGCGCGCCCGAGGCACCGCCGAGCCTCCCCCTCCTGGAGCTGCGCAGCACTGCGGCCGGGTGCCCGCAGCCTTGGCATCGCTCGGACGTGTGCATTTTTTCTCGGCAAGGACCATCGAGGAGCATGCTTGATCATTTGGCCAAAAAACCGCGCACGAAACCGACAAAAAAACACGTGACATGGACGTCCGAGCGATGGCCCGCACACCTGTGCTGACGGCAGCGGCCCCATCCCTGCGGTGGCGGCCCGGCGCCCAGGCGGTCATGGTCGGGGACCAGTGCCAGCTGCCCGCCACGGTGCTCAGCCAGGAGGCGCAGGCCCAAGGCGGGCCGCGCGCCGCCGTCGCCCTCACGCGCGGGGCCGCGGGCGAGGCCGCCCCGTGCCCCTGGGAGCCCTCCTCGCTTGCCGGCGCCCCTGGTCGGGCGCCTCGCGCCCGCCGCTCGTCTGCGGCTGTGGCGGGGCGCGGGCCTCCGCCGCGGGCCTCCAGGCAAGTCGGGCGTGCCCCTCTACGGAGGGGGATTTCGAGCGAAAGATGACAAATTCTCGAGAAATGCTCCCCCCAATGGGCAAACACAGTGAAAACAATCGTCCCCAGACAATTTTTTGAACTAGTTTTGAAGATTCCCCCCTGTAGAGGGACACGCCCGAATGATAAGCCTCCAGGGAGGGCCTCGGCGGGGCGTCTCCAGGGATGGGGGCACGCACTGGCCCGAGCGCGGCGAGCAGCAGGGCCCTCCCGGCAGAGGCCTCCGCAGAGACTTCTGCGAGCCTCGAGGAAAGTCCGCCGGAGGCCTGCAGGGGCGCGGGGCGGGTGGAGGGTTTCTCCGAAGGGCTCAGGCGACCCGTCCTCCCTCTCTCTCTCTCTCTCTCCTCCTCCTCCTCCTCCTCCTCCTCCTCCTCTCCTCCTCCTCCTCCTCCTCCTCCTCCTCCTCCTCCTCCTCCTCCTCCTCCTCCTCCTCCTCCTCCTCCTCCTCCTCCTCCTCCCTCCTCCTCCTCCTCGTCCTTCTCCTCGTTCTGCTCCTCCTCCTCCTCCTCCTCCTCCTCTTCTTCCTCCTCCTCTTCCTCCTCCTTCATCTCCTCCTCCCATTCCCCCTCCTCCACCTCCTTCTCCTCCTCCACCTCCTCCTCGGGTCGCCTACGGCCCCGGGGGACGCCGTGCAGAGGCGGGGGGGAGCGGAAACTACAATCTCTAGAGGAGTCGCCAGGTGGTGGCTCGTGGCAGCCGGCATCTCTTCTCGTCGTACCAGCTTTGGTGCAGGCGCTCGCACAGGCTCGGCACAGTCTTGGCGCAGGCGCGGAGATCTTTTGCACGGCCCAGACATGGCAATATGGGCGTAGGCGTGGCCTGTGCTTGGTCGCGCACATGGCAAGAGTGTCCCGATGCCTTTCGTTAGCGCGGCCGTGAACGTCCCAGGCCTGGCATGGCCTGGGCAATCTAGTAGTAGTCTCAGGCCAGGCCCTGGCACAAGCTTCGAAGCAGATCCGCACGCCCCGTGCCACGAGTGTGCGTAAGCACGCCGTGCCGATCGCACATTCTAGAGAGCCTCGCCCTCTGCCGCCGGTCCCCCACCCCCCCCTTGGGTTGCTCTGCTCTTTTCCCGGGGGTAACGATCGGGGGGGGATAGGCATAGGGGGGATGCATCGACCCCAATCGCCCATTGATCGCCGATAGGGGTCTGATAGCCCCAGCCCGCCCAGGAAGGTGCGGATTCACTATCGGGGGCCTATCGCCGATCTATCGGCGGTGTATCGCCGATTCTAGGTCGATGCATCCCCCCCTGTGCCAGTCCCCCCCTATCGTTGTCCCTCATTCTCGTTGGCTGGCGGGCAACTCGCCTGATTGGCTTGATGTCTAAATATACTGTTGGTCGTTGATCTGGGAGGTTTGCTGGCTGGCTGGTTGCGCGCGTCTGCAGGGAGTGACGAAGGATGCCGGCTTCGGCATTGTGGGGCGCGCGCATCTTCCTTGCGGATCGCCCCCTGCCCCATGTAACTATCTTCCCCGCCCCCATTCTCCTCCTTGCCTCCCTCCCCCCCCCCTCCCTGCATCGCCGCGCCCACCACGCCCCCTCTACACCCGCCCCGCCCTCCACGGCCTGCTCTGCACGTCCGAGGCAGAGGCAGGATGGCGAGGGGGCTGACCGACCGCTCCAGTGCGGGACGCGCGGGACGGAGCAGGATGGCAGGGGGGGGGCGATCCGAGGCCTGGACGTGTCCATGTTCGACCGCCTTCTGTCGATGGGGATGGAGTGAGCCTCTGCCAGGAGCGGGGTGTCAGCACAGCAGCCGGCGAGCACTCGACGGGTTTGAGGGCAGGAGTAGCGAGGATGAGCCAGGACCTCTCGAGGACGCCTGCGGCGAGTCGCCGCCGCCCCCTGCCCTTCTGGAAGGGCACGTTGGGCAAACGAGCGGCCAAGGTGGTTGAGGAGGAGGAGGAGGAGGAGGAGGAGGAGGAGGAGGAGGATCCCTTGCGCTGCCGGGAGCAGGCCGCGGAGCACGCGCGAGAAGTCGGAGCCAAGCTCGGGGCGCTCCCTCCGAGTGGGCGGCCGCGTGGGGCTGCGAGGCGGCGACCCCGCGCCCGCCTTCGGCGGCGCGGCGCCGCCGCAGGGCGCGCCGTCCGCCTCCGCGGCCCCTCGGCAGCAGACGCTGCAGGCTGCCTGCTGGCGGGCGGCGCCGCCAGCGAGGCGGCGGGGTCAGAGTCCGAGCCGCTGCGGTGCGAGGCTGGGCGGGGCTGGGCCGCCGCGCCGCCCAACCGCTGCCCTTGGCGCGCGCACGCCCGCGCCGTCGGGGGGCGGCGGCGGCCTCGGCCGCTCCCCGGGGCCGCTTCCCGCTGCCGCTGGTCTCGGCGCCGCCTCGGCCCCCGCCGAGCGGTGCGGCGAGCCGGGGCGGCGCGACGGCCGCTGGCCCGCGGCAGGAGCCCCAGTCGTTCGGGCAGTGGTTGCCCTCATGCCGTAAGTCGGGCCTGTCCTTCTACAGGGGGAAGAGTCAAGAAGAGTCAAGACATCGTCTGGGGACGAGGTTTCGACTATCCTGGTTCTCTGCTTTGCATTTTTTTGGCAGTTTTCCGTGCTCGTCCACAATCCCCCTGTAGGAGGACATGCCCGACCTAATTCGTGCCCTGTTCCAGGTGGCCGCCCCGCGCCACGTGCGCGAGGCACGTCTGCGCCGCTCCGGGCACCGCGAGCATCGGCCGCGCCCGCGGAGGAAGGGCCGTGCCACGGATCCCGGTGGCCGTCGCTTTCACCGAAGGCGTTGAAGAGCGCGCGGGGGCCCCGTTCGCCAGCGCTGCGCCGGCCCGAGGGCCCCTCCCTGCCGGGATCGCGGCGGCCACGACTGGGCTCGTCAGGGGCCTGCTGCGGCGGAACTTTCCCCGAGGACTCCCATGTATTGCCCGCTGGATTGGTCGGGGCCCGTGGCGAATATGGCGACGAGCTCCATGGGATCGGCGAGGAAACGCCCATGCCACGCGAGCTAAGCGTTGGCGGCTAGAAATCGTTGAAGAGCCTCGTGGCAACCATCCGTTGGATAAGTATCGTGGACGACTTAGATGCCGTCGGAGCTGACCCAATGCAGTTTTGGCATGCGGGTGCCTAGTAAGCGTAGGTGAACCTTGGCCTGAGTTGGATCGCACCTGTCACGTCTGAAGTGGCACCGGCGGTGGTGGTGGTGGTGGTGCCTTTTCCCAATTGACAGCTTAGCGGCGACTTCGAGCTCAAAGACTGCCGTGACTGCCGCGGCGCCTCCACGGTTGGAAGCTGACCGTGGAGTGGCAGGCACTGGGCGGGGCGCCTCGGCTCGGGCTCAGATCGCGGAGCGCCTCCCTGCGATGGGCGACCGCCGACCGCGACTTCTCCGAGCTCCATGCGGCGCCAGGGCGCGCCGTCAGATTTGGCACTCGGCGAGGCGTTCCTGGCATCGGCCGCGTTCTCGCGCGGGGTGGGAGAGGCGTTCCTGGCGTCTGCCGCGTTAGCGGCGGGAGCTCGGGGCGAGATCTCGCGGGCTTCTTCCACCGCGCCGCTGGTTGCCGCGTGCGGCGCCAGCCGCTCCGTTGAGGATTGGCGCGACCCAGTGCCACGCGCAACTCTCAGGGTGGGGTGTGCCAGCTAGGTGATGACGTTGGCCGCCCACGTGAGGATTCCACGGACGATGAGTTCACCCTACGTCTTGGTCGTTGTTCACCACCCACCAAACAAAACCCGACCCAACCGGAAGGCCACAATTTGACTTCCATTTCCAGTGGGGTGTGTCGGGGAAAATTGCAAACGCAAACATATGAGACCCCTGCCCCCCTAACCTGAAATTCGAGTCTTCGGGTTGGGTTGGGTGGTCTGGTTGTAGCCGCCTGCCGCTGGCGTCTGGTCGTGGTCCTGCCGTGCGTGGGAGCAGATCCAGTATAGACGGGATCGTTCCGCCCACGTGCCCGTCTCTGTAGGCGCATGCAGGGATGAGCAGGCACTGCGCTGTGGCGGGCCGGCTGGAGCATGGTCGCCCCCGAGCGACCGTTGCGCCAGCGGCACAGTACTTGCACCGTCCCAGTTCACCCGACGTGGGGCGCACCCATCTGGGTCTCCCGGATGGGGTCGGAGTAGATGGGGTCCGAGGATCGCGCCGCATCGCCGATGCATCGGCGGTGCATCAGCGATGCGGCTCGTTGTGGGTCCCCATCTTTTCCACGCCGACGTCGCCGATGCACCGCCGACGTCGCCAGTGCATGGCCGATGCATGGCCGATGCATCGCCGATGCATCGCCGATGTATCGGCGATGCGGCGAGAGCTTCCGACCCCACCTACGAGGCAGAGAAGAGAACACGCTCAGGCGGGTCCGCGTGTACTGCACGGCCCCGCAGTGCGGCGCGGTGCGCTGGTCTTGGCCCCTGTCGGGCTCGCCGCCGCGAGCACCCTGCAAAAGTCGAGCTGCGGTGTCCGCAGCGTGTGCGCGCGGGCCCACATGCCGCCGATATCGATCCAGAGCTCGAGGGAAGCATCCTTTGGGCGGGCCCCTTTGAGCACCGCGCCCCAGGGAACCCAGGCGCCGTAGCCGTGGAGCCCGTCGGGGTGCATGGGGCAGTCGTAGAGGGGCCACCCGCTGTCCGCGGCTTCAGCGGCGATGCAGATGTCCCCACGTGACGTGGCGCGTGATAGAAATCCAGGTCGTGGAAGGCGTTGGGTTGCCGCGTGTGTGCTCTCTGTCGGAGGGGGCATTGGGTTGCCGCGTTGGTCCTGCTACTGTCTGGTGAATCGCCAACTCCCTGTGCTCCCTGTCGGAGGGGGCGGGGCTGGCCGCGTCGTTATCGGCGCTGTCACCAGCGGGGGGACCATCGCCCCGCTTATACACCGATGGGGACGCGACTCTGCGAGCGGTCGCCGCGTTCGGCGCCGCGTACAGGCCGGCGGGCCCTGACGCGTCTCTGCGCTGCGAGAGGGACGCGCTGGCGCGCGTGGGCGGGCTCGTCGTGCGCCCCCGAGGCGCAGTCCGAGCCGGCCTGGAGGAGGAGGAGGAGGAGGAGGAGGAGGGGGAGGAGGAGGAGGAAGATGAGGAGGAGGAGGAGCAGGGGGGGAGGAGGAGGAGAGATGATGATGAGGAGGAGGAGGAGGAGGAGGAGAGAGGAGGAGGAGGAGGAGGAGGAGGAGGCGGAGGAAGAGGAGGAGGAGGAGGAGGAGGAGGAGGAGGAGGGAGGAGGAGGAGGAAGAGGAGGAGGAGGAGGAGGAGGAGGAGGAGGGAAGAGGGGGAGGACTGCCAGGCGCGCACGTCTATTGGCGCGTGTGTCGCGGCGGCCGCGGCTGCGGGGTGGGCGTCGGTGCAACGTGCGCGGCTCGGGGTGGCCAGGGCGGCCGCGGGGACGGGGGGGAGGGCAGCACGCAGCCGAGGGGCGCGCGCCAGAGTCGCCAGCAACGAAGGGGTGCTGGGGGGCCAGCTGCGAGATTCGCACTGGGTCACGGGGACCCTCGAGCCAATACTACAGAGAGAGAGAGAGGAAGAGAGAAGCAACACAACCAGGTAAAGAGAGAACGAGAGAGAGAGAGAGAGAAAGAAATACATACACACAATCATGACATACGCATGTGCTATACAAGTGGCACGTGCGTGTCCAGGCTCATGTAACACATGGTGCAAGATGTAGGTGGATGGGTTGTGTTGAGTGACGTGTGCGTGTGTGTGTGTATGGTTGGTGTGCCGTGTGTGTTGTGTGTTATGTGTGAGGTATGTGTGTTGTGCGTGCTATGTGTTATGTATGGTGTGTGTTATGTGGGCGGTGTGTCGCACATGTGTGTTGCCTGTGGCGTGTGTGTGTTGTGTATATGGTGTGTGTGTGTTGTGTGTGCTGTGTGCTATGTGTTATGTGTGCTGTGTGTTCCGGGTGTGGTCTGGGTGCGTTGTGGGTTTGTTCGATGTGTGTCTGTGTGTTGTGTGTGGTTGTGTTATGTGATCTGCGTGTTGTGTCGGCCATGTGTGTTGTCAGTGTGTTGTCTGTGATGTATTGTGTGTTGTATGATGTATGTTGTGTGCGTGTGTTCACTGTGTTCAGTGTTGTGCGTATGATGTGTGTGTGTGTGTTCTGTGTGTATGTGAGTTGTGTGTTCTGTGGGTTGTGTGTGCTGTGCGCGTGTGCGTTGTGTGTTGTACGTCGGGGCTCGATGCAACACAGTCGTGGGCAACATCGTTTACGTTCCTTTTGCTTCTGAAGGTGGTTTGTGTAACATGTTTAAGACAGGCTTTGTTCTTAACAGTGACGTCGCGATATGCGTGAGGGGTGCGTCCGGTTTTCAGATGTGTGAGGATGTCCCGAGCGAAACGACGAAACGCGGGCGGCTTCAATCCATTGCCTCTGAGCCCTGCTCCTGCTCCCTCGGAGAGGTGCGCATGAGACTCTATCTATATGTATATATATAAACATAGATATACACACATATACAAAAAGCTCCCAGGAGGCAGCCAGATCCCCAGAGAAGCCCAAACTAAGTTTCCGTGAGGCCCCCAAGAGATCCTACAAGAAGCAGACCCCGCAACGACAACTACAAGGAGGACAGGGAGGAGTTCGCAGAGAAGGGTGAGATGACGAGGGAGAGAAAACGTGTGGAGAGGGAGAAGGACGAGTAGGAGGATTCACGGTACCTCCACTCGACGAGCAGGAGGACGGGGAGAAGGACGAGCAGGGAGGTCCCCCCAGCCTCGGGCACGGAAACGATGGACCCCCACTATCGGGTATGGGGTTCTACCCTGCAGCGGTGCCGTGGAGGTGCACGGCAGCCAGGGTGGCCAAACAAGGGCGCCAGGGGAGAGATACCGAGACAGAGAGGAAGCGAGAATCATTTCTGCCTGCGCAGCATGCTCACAACGTTACATGGCTCACTGTGTAAGACGCTGGGCCAGCCGGTGGCGGCAATCGACGTATGCTCACGTGGATTACGCCAGTCATCCGACCCCCAGATGGGGACAGCGTGATGCACGATCGCGGAAGTCATTCGGAGCATTGGGGCCCGAATGCGTTGCGTCGTATCTGTTCTCTTGGGGCCCTGTGGGCCCGCTTGGCGCTTACGGAGCCGGGCGGTGTATGTCGGAAGGTGTTGCTGGCCTGGGAGACACGATGTCAAGCTCGCCGCCCGTTTCTCAAACAGGATTCGTGGTTTCGGGCGAACAGAGATCAACGGAGAAGGTTGGGGCAGAGCATGTCGCGCGCGGTCCCACCCTTGCCAATGTGGTATAATGCGGTTAGGCGGTCTCCGCTTCTATGCCTGTGGAAGTCTGTGGGCAAGGCTCACGGAGGATGTGGGAGGCAATCGTAAAGCGTTCTGGGAATCGCTTCGGGGCGTTGTCGGGGTCTCGTAACGGCCACTTGGGGGCGTTCACGAAGGGTGGACATGCAGTGAGCGCTTGCAGCGTTCGTGGAAGGAATGGAGTGGGTCAAGAGGCGCACGGATGCATATGAGGGGCTCTTGGGATGCTTCTCAGAGGCATCTTGGAGGGCGCATTGCAGCGCCCGGGGGGCTTCTTGTAACTTCTCGGGGTCCTCTTGGGTTCTTGGAGGCCTCTTGGCGCCTCTTGGGAGCGCCTCGGGGGCCTCGGGGCTTGGGGTCATCTGGGGGAGAGGCTCGAACTGTCAGCTGGTATTCGCCCTCTTGGGACCCCCACGAGGGCCTCTCTTGGGCCGTCTCGGGGGGTCCCTTGGGCCGTTATCGGGCCATCTTGAGCCGTCTGGGGCTGTCTTGGGGGCCTCGTGGCCCGGCCTGGGACGGGCCTGGAGGCCCTTCTCGTCCTGGACGCTGCCAGAACGAAGAAGGCGAGCATGCCAGAAAAGTGCGTCTTCCGACGGGACTGGGGCGACGATTGCTTCTTTGGGCCTCTCTCGGCGGTTCCCTGGGAGCTTTCTTGGGCCGTCTTGCGGGCCTCGCGGGCCGCCCCGAAGCCATCTTGGATCGTCGCGGGGCTGCCCTGGGCCCTCTCGACGCTCTCCTGGGACTGTCTTGGCGCTCTGTGTGGACCCTCTTGGGCTGTCAGGGGGCTCTTTGCAGGCTCCGGTGGCCCCAGGGGGGCGGGGGGCCAGGAGCCCCCTCTACAGTGGAGGCCCGTGCCAAGAAGCACCCTGCTTGCCTCCAGGGTGCCATGGGTTTCTTGGGTTTCGATGGTTCGCCATGGAAAGCGTGACGCTCCCACACCAAGAATCCATGGGCATCCTGGGGTTTCAGGGCTGGGTTTCTTGTGGAAGGTTTTTTGTGGTCGGGCCCGTACTGTAATCAAATTGGGGATCAGGGGGGAGGGGGAAAGTGGTGGGGGGGGGCAGCCGAATGGCTCACACGCCTTCTCACCCCAGGCAAGCGGGGGTCGGCAGTTTCTCGTGTTTGCAATGGCTGACGAGGGCAAGCCAACATGTCGGAGTGGAGTCAACATCGGCGCAGGCAGCGGATCGACGTGGATGCCAGTGGAAGCGCGGCAGGGGGTTCTCGAAGCAGCGTCCGCCTGCCATAAACGTCGAATTCTGGATGTTGGGGGTAAAGGTTGCATGTCGCAAGGTGGGTGGATCTGTTTGGCCTTGTCAGCACAGCATCGGCCTGCGCTAATGGCTGCCGTCGTGATTCTTGCGCCAGCAAGGTACACGCTTCTGACCCACCAGTACAGAATGCACCCGGCGATCAGCGCCTTTCCGTCATGGCGCTTTTATGCGTTCAGCGCCTCTCTTCTCAAGGGCCGTGCCATTCCTGTAGTGTGTGCTTCCAGTTTCGGCATGTCTTTGCAATATATGACTTTTGCCCCACTTCTCTGCACCACGCGACCACCTCTACCGACTTGTACCGCGTTTCGCTGTCGATCCCACGGCTGGCGGAACCTGTACTTCCAAGTCGGTCTGTCGATTGTCGTTTCCCAAAGAGCCCAGCACAATGGTAAGGACGGACATGTTCGTCGTATAGTGTGGTGGGATACTCTTGGGACGTCTTGGGGGCATCGTGGAGGCTTCTTGGGCCGTCTTGAGCTGACGGGAGCCGGGCAAGGCAAGAATGCGAAAGTCATTGAAACACCAACGAGAAATCAATGGTGTGGTTTCATCAGGCCCTGCTGGACGTCCGCTTGTGGCCTTCTGGGCCCTCTTGGAGGCATCTTAGGACCTCTTGCAGCAATATTCGACCGCCGTGGGGCCATCCTGGGCCGTCTTCGATCCATCTCCGGGAGTCTGGAGGGCAGGTCTGGCCCTCTTTCTGCCACCTCGGACGAGAAGGAGGAGGAGGAGGAGGAGGAGGAGGAGGAGGATCATCAGCAGCAGCAGCGAGTTATTACTGGTATCGGGGGGGCGCCAACTATACACTGATACCGATCCTGGCCAGGCCGATCCTGGGCCCAGGATCGATGCATGCACCGTCTCGATCTAGCCAGGAATGTGTATGCATCGATTCTGGACCAAGGATTTGGAACAACGAGGCCTTAGCGCAATATAGCATTGAACTCTGAGGGGACGGAGCAAAGAGAAGAGAGGAGGAGGAGGAGGATGAGGAAGAGGAAGAGGAGGAGGAGGAGGAGGAGGAGGAGGAGAACGAGGACGCCGCGAGAGGACGACTGAGGAGGGCGGACGGACGCGGTAATCAAAGGTTCGCGGGGCAGTCCCACCATTCTTTCTGAGCAGTTTGCGCCTTGTCGACAGAATGCAGCTTACATAGTCACAGCCTCCTCATGCTCCTCCTCCTCCTGCTCCTCCTCCTCCTCCTCAATCTCCCCCTCCTCGCTTCTCCCTTCTCCTCCTTGTATGCCTTGTCGTCGTTCTTCAAGTCGGCCTCGTCGTCGACCTTCTCTCGCCCTCTTCCTCCTTATCCACGCTTTCTCTCTACCTTGTAATTTTCCTGGTTGCTCCTCTTGTCCTCCTTGCTCCTCTCCTTCCTCGACGTCCTCCTCCTCCGCCTCCTCCTCCGCCTCCTCCTCCCCCTCGGCCGCCTCCACATCGCACCCCCTCGCCGTTCTCTCCTCTCTGGTGACCGCCCGGCCCCGGTCGGCTCCCAACCCGCCCGCGAGCCCGCACGTGCCCTATACCGGCCACCCTGCGGCCCGCATGGGCGCCGCCGCCGGGGCGCGCAGAGGCCTCGCTGCGCGCAGCGCCCCGCCCCGCATTGCGGCGCCGCGCCCGGGCGGGGGCGGGGCGCAGGCGCGCGCGGTGGGGGCGCAGAAAGGCGCTGCGCGGGGCCCGGGCGCCGCCGAGCGAGCGAGGCCGGGCGGCGGCCGGCTCGGCAGGCCGGCGGCGGGCGGCAGGCGAGCAGGAGCCCGGCGCCGGCATGGCGGGGAGCGAGGGGCGACGAGCACGGTCCGCCTGGCGCTGTGGCGGCGAGCGCCGCGGCGTCCACCTCCCACTTGGGTCCCATGCGGGGGATGGCCTGCCCCGAGGTGGTGAGGGTGGACGCGGCGCCCAGGCGGTGCGGCCCGGCCCTGCCGCCGAGGTGGCCGCGGAGACTCCGCGCGCGGAGGCGGGCGGCGTGGTGCTTTCCAGCCTCCTGGGCGACGAGGAGGCCTCCACCGAGGCGGCGCCGCCATCTGCAACGGTGGCGGCAACAGCAGCATCGTGCGCGGGTGGCGCGAAGAGATCAAGAACCAAGAGGGAAAGAGGGCAAAGGATGATGGGAGCTTGAGGGTCGTCGCGGCCGCTTGCCGCCCCCCATGGCCGCCCTCGCAGCCACCTCCCCGAGGGCGTCGGCGATTCCATCGCCGCGATCATCGAGTTCTCGAGCGCGAAGATGGAGCGTCTCGAGAAGGAGCCTCGGGCGGCTGGGCGTGGCCACCCGCCCAGCCGTGCCCGCGCGGCTCCGCAACGGCGGCCTTTCGGGGCTGCCCGCGAGGGCCACGGCGCGCTCCCGTGGGCTCGGGAGCGTGAGCGCTCCATCGAGTTCACTCTCCTGGATGGTGCTCCTCGGTACCGCCAGCCCAGCGATCGACGCCGCGGCGTGGGCCACTCATGCGCTCGCGGTGTCGCTCTCCTTCGGTCCCTTATAGAGCTCGTGCAGCTCATCCTGGTGCCCAGCGGCGTCATCGTCCTCCTGTCGCGCGCTGGCCTCGATGGCATGGCCGTTTTCGCGTTGCTCGCCGGCAGCTTCGGCTAGTCTCGGCGGGCCCGCCGAGGCGCCCGAGGGGGAAGCTGAGCCTGGCCCGCGCGGTGGGGGGTCCTCGGATTCCCGAGCCGTCCACCTCGATGTTGCGATCCCTCGCCAACCTCATCTCCCTCCTACACGCCGTCCTCTCCCTCGACACAGCCTGAGTGCCAGTAATATCCTGCCAGCACAATTGCACAGATGTGGGTGGCGCTTCCCTTTTGGCCGTTGGTCGGGGCCACTTCCGCCACCACATCTGCCATTCAACGAGAGAAGACTGACTACACTGTTTCGGCTCCAATGGATGGTCCAACTTGCCAGGGTGGCAAGGAAACTGGCTTCATAGCTTCGACTCCAAAGGACGCGCCAGTTTGCCAGCATGCACAGGGAACTGACTGGGACCGCCGACGAGAGAAAGCAAACGAACGAGTTACCTAGGGCTGGAAACTTCTCTAGCAAGGATGAGGTCACTGGTGCGGAACGGTTGCGCAAGTGTGTGTTAGGCCGTGTTCACCTGGAATCCCCAAGGCGTTCCAGTGAGATTAGCCAAGTCGCGCGCTCCCCAGGATCTAACCAGCGGTGCCCTAGCACAGGAGACGCTGAAGCACACATTTCGCGCGCAGACACACACACACACACACCGCACACCATTTCCCGCTTCCCAACTGAAAGCGATTAATTGCATATGAGCGCCGCCTGAGAATGCAACACGGGCCACATCGAGATCGGGCTGTGCGAGGGCTCTTGGAGTAGCAACAGGCGGCGGGGCTAACATTTGCAGCATCGGTGCGCAGGGCTTTGCAGTGCGCTACTTAGCCACGTCCTCCCCTTCCTGCTCCTTGTCGCCCTCCTCCCGCTACTCCAGTTTTCTTTCTCCTTCTCCTCCTGTCACCTAACCATCACGATCATTATATACAAAGGCGGTTCCTCGTCGCTCTTCCCATCCCATGCTCATCACTTTCCTCATCATCAGCATCATCATCAGAAGTAGCAGCACAGCATCAGCATCATCAGCATCATCATCATCTGCATCAGCATCAGCATCATCATTATCATCGTCGTCAGCATCATCATCACCTTCATCATCAGCATCATCGTTCTCGTCTTCGTCCTCGTCCTCTCCTCATCCTCCTCCTCGTCGGCCTTGATAGTTTTCCCCTTCTGTCACCCTTGCCCTCCTCTTCATCCTCTGCCTCCTTGTCCTCGTCGCTGTCCTCCTGTAATTATGGTGTGCGCGACCTCCTTTCGAAACCTGCCGCGGCGCGGACAGACAGTGTAGCATGCTGCAGGGCCGCCCGCATCTCCACCAGAGCTGCTGATCCCTGGCGCTCGTCATTCCAACTGGCCCAGTACATCAAGTAAGAATCGACCTACCAGCAGGTGCCCCTCTCAGATCTCGTCTTCCCCAATGTCTCTGGATACTGGAGTTCTGGGTGCCTGTCGAGGTCGAAGGCTCGACCAAAGATTTGTTCCCAGACCTTGCAGCAAGATCATTTGTCTATTGACATACGGCGCCTGGCTCCCAAGAGTTCTGGCGACGTGACCTCTGCAAGAAGTGCCCCGGACTCCCTGTCCCCATCCCCAGCATCGATCCTCCGCTCTGCTGTTTTCGATGGTCCCGCCGCCGCGTCGTGACCGCTGCGGTGCAGACCCGCGCGGCGGCGGCTCCTGCCTGGCTCTCCTTCCTCCGCACCCCTTCCCATTCTAGGGGGCCATATGCGAACCCTGCCCCTACCCCCCACGATTTCTGAGGAGGAGGGTGGGGTTCACTGGCCTGCTCGTCCAGGGCAGGCCGCCGGGTCGACGGAGCCCCTGGGCATCAGCTCGGCAGCCAACGGCACAGCCACGAACCTGGCCTCAGTCGACCGCTTTGGCCTTGCCCCCGCGCAGCGTGAGCTCTGCATCGGCATGCCGCCACCTCGGTTCTCCTCGAGCATCGACCCCAGGACCGCAGCTCCTGCGCCCTGGCAAGTCCGCACTGCGCATCCGCTCTCACTAAGCGCTCGCCCACCTCCTCGGCATGGGCAAGTCCCTCTACAGGAAGAAGAGTCAAATATAGTCAAAACAGACAGTCTGGGGACGATGTTTGTTGACTATGTTTGACTATTTCTGGGTAGTATGACTGTGTTTTATTTTTCGTTCAAAGTCCGCCTGTAGGAGGACTTGCCCGACCTTTGGCGGCGCGCGCACGGGGGTGGAGGGAGGGGGGAGGGCTCCTTAGCAGGAGGCCTCTTCTTGGAAGGCGCCGGCGCCTTACAGCTACAGTACAGACCAGGCCCGCCGCTCTTCAGAAGCAGGGGGTGCGTCAGAAGAAGCCCTCCCCCCTCCCCCCTCCCCCTTGCGCATTGCCGAGACCTCACGCCGGCGCCGCCTCGCGCGACGCCCACCCGCAGCCCGAGGCCGCCGCGCTGCCCCGCGGAGAGCCCTGCTGCAGCCCGGCGTGCGCCGGCCGCCCTCTGCTGCCTCGTCCGCCTGCCCGTGCACCGCCCGCCTATAGCAGCGCCCCCCGCCTGCGGCGGCCCCCGCAGGGGGCCCCCCTGGCCACGGCGGGCCTCGGCCACGAGCCAGCTTCCCCGATCCGAATATCCG